ATTATTATGTGGTTAAAATATATGTAATTCTTTAGGAAGGAAGAGTGAATTAGTTAAGAATCATTTAATTCTCATGCAGCCCAATTCTAAAGCATTAAAGCACCTAGCTCTCTTTCTGTCTTCAGTGGACAGCTTTGTGACACCTTTGAGGAAGGCCTTTATACAAATGACCTCTCTCTTGGGGCATCACATGGCCTTTGCACACCTGCAGACCTGACCCAGTGGACTGACTCTTACCCAGAAGATCCCTTTCTGCTCCAGAGAGAACACCCTGGTATCCTTCCTCTCACTCTGCTTCAAGATAACGTGTAACAGAGTGCCAGCCCTTTTGGGAATAATCTTCGCTATTCATTTGCAGCCCTGATCTTAAAACCTCTGAGAGTTGAAGGTTAAGCAGTTTGAGTTCTGGCTGGTGGAAGATGCAGCTGACTTTATAGTTGAACTCTGAAACAGACGCTCAAAGGTTACACCTGTAACTTCTGCAGTAAAGCTGCCTCTTACCCACGCCCTTGAACTGAGAACACCAGTAGGTAACAGAGGTAGGGAGAAACTAGCTCTGTCCTGCTACGGGCAAGCTGAAGCCAGTCTGCTCTGCTGTTGCTGGTTTTGGAGCACAGCAATTCCAACAACATCGAGTTTCAGCAGTACTGAACTTCTGAACTGGCTTGTGACTCTGTGTCTGGGTGACAGCTGCCTGGTGACCATACTGCTTCTACCCTTCATCTCATGCACACAACGCTCCTCTGGTTTTTAAGCTACAAGTCTCAGTGTGCCAAAAAATGTGGCCTGAACACTAGAAGCGTGCAAGGGACAGAAATAAGCAGGCAGAAAAGCATGGCTTTTAAAGGTGCTCGTTCTTCTTCTCCTCCCTGTAATGTTTATTCAAGAGTGTTGGAGCCAATTCTGTGCAATCTATTTGGGGATGCAAAAAAAGGCTACCAATTTTTTTCAGAACCACTATGTGGGAAGAGCACTGTTCCTCATGGTTTTCTTTTTCTATACAACCACTTATCCTGAGCAGGGCTGAATGCCATTTGGCTGGGGTGTGCCAGGCATCCAAAACCTGGCCAAATCCTTAGGAAATAATCAGCAGCGTTCCACCACACACATCCTTCTGCTTTTCCCAAAGTACAGGGTCATTGGACTGAGCTGGTGGATGTTTCAGCTCATTAACTTCATAAGTTAATAGTTCTCACTACTCAAATTAGTATTGAGATGTAAATTAACCTTTTCCCTCTTATCTGTTAAATAAAGAGTATAATCTCTATATTCAGGATGTTTCTAGAAGATTATTACTCACAAGCATGTGGTTTTGATTGATTATTTCCAGTTCTAGTAATCATTAACAGCTACTGGTAGTTCAAGAATTACTTTTTATTTCAAAGGGTGGAATTTATTTGGCTTTACACCAAGGCAAGTTAAGTAAGCTCTGCTGAGCACTTCTGACCTTTCTCTTCAATCATATTGTTATGTAAAGAGGCAATACATTCTACTGCTTGTGCTTTTTCAACTCTGAATTCACCTCTACTGTTAAGAAAATATGCTGACATATCAAACAATGTAACAGACAAAGCAGAACAAAATGAGTCAATATTTAAATTATTTTTTTTTTCCTTTTAGATTATGCTTTCTCTATTACAGTATATTGATCAAAAGACAGAGACACAACTTTTTGAAGGTGGATAACCAGAGGAAAAACTTGCAGAAATGTACAAGGTAAGAAAAACTGAATAGAAGAATTACATCAAAATACACATAATGAAAGTCCAAGACATGAAACAAATGTAACTTCTTGATTAAACATGACTAATAGGAAGACACGTGCCCTATCTTGAGAGTTTGTAACTCTGCTGCAGCCATGATGCAGTAAGCCAAAGCTGGGGAGGAAACAGAAAGGTGGTTGGATGATGTTTTCCTAACCACAGACACGTGAATAATTACATGTGTCTGTTCTGCACACCTTCTGGCCCAAAATACTCAACATAGTTCATTTTTCACTTGTTGCCTTCAAGTATTTTTAGCCCAAAATATCCTCCCTACCACAGCTGAATTGCTCAGCTGTGCCACCATTCTCTGACATTGTTTTAGCAGAGCTGATCCTCAAGTGTCCAATGAGACTTTAGTCTAACATGTAGCAAAGAGCCCGAAGACAACACAGAAGTTCCTATGGAACGGACTACCAATAGGGTGTATTAGATTTGTTCTCAAACTAAGTCCATGATGTCTTGAGTGATCAGTGTAGGGTATTACAAGGTTACTTTTTGTACAAGTATGTGGCAGAATAGGGGATGGTCTAGTAATTTCAGAACTGCTTATATTTCCTCCTAAAATCAATATAACTGTATTATCCAGACAGGCAACTGGTTTGGCTTCATGCTTCATTATAGGGATATCTAATTGCCTGAAGCTCTGTTCGTTGATCAAGGAATCAGGTGAAACTTTATCTAAATATTCCAAATATCCAAGCACTTGGTCATCGTTTAAAAATTGCCCATGACAGGAAGGCTGTGAAGTCTGTTGTCTGACAACATCCCTTTCCTGTGGTACAAGGCCAAGTATACAGAGAGAAACAAAATTATCAGCATTTCTTGGCTGCTGTTCTTTCTTTGCACCATCCTACATGTCTAAATTCAAAGCACCTTGAGACATATTTCACAGACTTATTATGTCAAATTCCTGTTTCTCAAAAAAGAGAATGATGACCTGTCAATTTGTAACCCAGGTTGTTTCACTTATGTGTTTTACAGTGTGATCCAGTTCAATAGTTGTCTCAGGACAGCTGTGAGGGAGTGACAAGCCATGGCATGTGTGTGGGAATGAGTGATGTTGCCACCAGAGATCATGTAATGTTAGAAACACTACCAATTTCAATAGCACAACCCAGTCAGTTGAGGTAAAAGCCCAAATAATTGGGTCTAATACTGCTATGGAAACTATGCTAAGGGCTAAAAATACTACTTAAAAGGTAGAGTTTCTTTTCTTGTACATTTTCCCATCAACTCCTGACTTTAGTGAGAGTTGTTTCAAGCCCTGACTGAAAAGATGGAGCATTATGAAGCAGTTAAAGATGATGTGAAGAAGTTCTGTGCCAGCAGTTAACTCTAAAGAAGCACAAATATTGGACTTTCACGAATATTTCAAATGCACCAAAAATGCCGTACAAAAATTTTGCATGTTTGTCTCCTTGGAATTTAGGATGAATACACACATGTTTAAGCACTAGACCAGTGTTATTTGTTATTAGCAAAAAACACATGCTCAATCCAGGCTATTTTACAACCTTGATTGCTTTACTTTTTAAATCTTTGGATCCAGTTTTTCAGATCTTCAGTCCCCTGGCCTACTGTTGTGGAAATGTTCAAAAGTCCTTGTCTAAACATTAACTCACCCTTGGAGTGTGATGGTACACTGTGTGCTACTGGAAGTGCTGCTGGTCTTTCTCCCTTTCACCTCCTTAAGAAAGTTACATGTTTATAAAGGGAGATTTAGATGTGGGAGGAGGAGGGAAATCTTTCAAGGTTACATCCTTCAAGAATTAAGAAACATTGTCTGTTTTCCCATTAGTCTTTATGGGACCGTTTGTTTTTAAGTCAACAGGAGACATAAACAGTCTTGCAACTTACAAGGAGACCTGCAACTCATGGCAATTGCAAAGGATGGCTGAGGACCAAATCACCTGAAGTGTACATTCCTCTTCCCTCAGTGCAGCTGCAGAAATGAGAGGGTGTCAAAAATATCAAGGCAGGAAAAAAAATGTGGTTTTGCTGACTAGTTTGCCATTTCAGAGCTAGTTTTGCCATTTCAGGATTTTGTTGGTGCTGGCGTTATATCCTCTACCTGATCAGAGCGGTTTCTATGTACTCCAGAGGAGCCTTCTGGAGGTTGGAGACTTTTAAACTGTTTGGATTACCACCTACAATGAGACAGTTTCCGTTACAGTCTGACTGCTTGTTTTGCTTGCTTGATTTTAGCTTGTTTTTTGTTGTTTTTCTCCAGGCTGGGTAGATCTGCTCCTAAGCCTGGCTGTTCTATTAAGCTTAAGCTTCTACAGGGGGGCCACAAGCAATTTCAGCCTGAATTTGTGAAAGGGTAAAACCAAGGCTTTTCTTACATGGGACCATTAAACAGGATTCACTTTTATGCCTTTGCCTGCAAGACTGCACCTCTCCAAGTGTCTTCTTATGGTGCTGGAACTCAGAGGTGAAAGTAACCAGTTTAGGATGAGGGGTGGCTGCAGCACAGACTGGCTTATCCATCAATTCAGGGCTGGGGTGGCACATGCAGATCATACAATTATAAAATGGTTTGGATTAGAAGGGACCTTAAAGATCATCTCATTCCAACTCCCCCTGCATGGGCAGGGACACCTTCCACTAGACTAGGTTGCTCAGAGCTCCATCCAAGCTGGCCTTGAGCATTGCCAGGGATGGGGCATCCAGAACTTCTCTGGGCAACCTGTGCCAGTGCCTCACCACCCTGACAGTGAAGAATTTCTCCCTCATATCTAATCTAAACCTGTCCTCTGTCAGTTTGAAGCCATTCCCCCTTGTCCTGTCACTGCATGCACTTGTAGAAAGTCCCTCCCCATCTTTCCTGTAGGCCCCTTTAGGTACTGAGATGTTAATGGTCAGCCAGAGATCACCCGGTGCAGTGGAGCTTTGTACATGATGAGCCTGGTTTTGGTCAGCCCAAGTGCTCCGACCTTCGCTCAACGCAGGCACCGATTTTATGTGTCCATTCTCAAGAGCAGCGAGACATGAGTTCATGAACTCCCCTGATCTCTCTCATACATGCTCACCACAGACATCTGGGATATGATGGAGCAGTCAGACGATGTTGTCGCTTGTTTCTATTTGCTTGCACGAGGTTACCAAGCTAATATTCGAGGATCAGGAACACAAACAGAAGATCCAAATTTGCTTCCACTCCGTGGCCTCCTGTAGTATCGAGAGCTGGACTGCAGTTTGAGAGATGTCATTCGAATTAAGCATTAAATATGATTGTGGGAGGAATGCATGGGGTATGTAACACTATGATTTAGGTATATTATAGTGCAAATAATATGCAGTGTGCTGGGTGCAGCAGAGAATACTTCTCTGGTAGGTAAACTGTTGGCTTCTGAAGGTGAATGTTCTGATGTGCAAAGAATTTTACATCTGAAATATGCTATGACTGATAATAAGCATGAGGAATGATGGTGCTGTCTCACCGACCAAAATGAAAGGAAACAAATTAACAAATAGAGTAAAAGGAAAAAATTGTGCCAGTCTTTGCAGATCATCCTCAATAATCCTACTTCTGTGATTTGCTTGCTCTGTTATATACACTAGAACATATGATATATTGTCTGTTAACTGTGCTAGGAATCTCCCAGGCTCTTGTACTCTCTCTTCATGTCATTCTCAGCAAATCCTCCAAATATTTTTCCCTTTGATTTAATTAGTCACTTCCCCGTTTGCCTGGAATGTGAGTGACGAGAAACGAACTATGGACTCATCAGTGCACTACAACAGGGAGGGTATTTTTGATTTTATTTTTTTGCTTGTCATTTGGGGTCACTCCCTCAACTATTACCTTCCAGTTAAATCCTCTGAATGTTTTCCTTCTTGTTGGTTTTCTGAGCTATAATTGCTAGACATTTGAAACTTCATTTTCTTAGATTAAATAGTAACCATTTACTGCTCATGCTTCTGTGCTCAGAGGAAGCTGTTCCGTATCCTCTGTACAATCCAAGGGGGAATGTTTCCTGTGACTGACTACTTTTCATTTGAATCAGTATCAAAATGTTACCCAAATGTGCAGCAAGTTAGCCTCACAAAAGAAAAAAAATATTTTTAGGAACTGCTGCTGGAATCAGTAGAATGCTGGAATAGATAATAGTGGTATCTGGTCCTTAGCTCTCTTTTGGAAAGCATTACCCAGCAACAAATGAAATGGAGCCAACATAACCATTTAAAATAGCAAAGTAAACAGTTCATGTCGTAGTCAAGATAATCCTTAATTTCTGCTGCTTATCTGAGATCTGCCCTGCTGATCTGATGGGAGGATTTAACCTTCCTGAAAGCTGTTATCAGTGTATGTGCTTGAACTGGGGAGACCTCCTTCCACCTGCTTTTCAGAGCCCTTTCTCCTAGGAGATTAACACTGCTATGCCCTTTTTAGAAAGGAAAACCTTTGAAATATGGATTATTTTTAGAGGGATATACTAGGACTTTTTGCTACAGTACAGCTTAAGGGAAATACTAAAAAAATTTTAAAAAAGCCTATTTAAAAGATCTTTTTCTTTTTTTCTTTACAGAAGAACCTTGTCTTAAATTCTCATAATTTTTGTCTTACAAAAGAACACGTATAGTTGTGGAAATTAAAAAGAGAATAATTGGCTTGTGGTTGGTTGTGTAACCAAATCAAAAGCTATCGGGAATTTTAATTTCAAATTTCTTTGAGCTATGTTGGAAACCATTTTGTAATTTTCTCTTTCTCTTGGGATACTGTGTGAAACCCAGAATGGCAGAACAGATGGTGTGTCTTCTCTTTACAAAGAGACAAGTAACATCACTCTGTTCAAGGGGAAAGTCTAAAGAGGGTTTCACTGGAATATAGGAAGGCCCAGTCTAATATCTGGATCAAAACAAAAATCAGTGTTGGTTTAACAGGTTTAATGTGTAATACTTTTCACAAGCAAATGGCTCTATTTCTGATGCTATTTTTACTATGTTTCTTATGGTTTATTTTAAAATTTTAAAAAAAAATCTCTTTTTAGATTAAGACTCGCTGGTATACCTGTGCCATTGGGAGGAGGGGAGAGAATCACTGGGTGAAGTGTCTCAGGCTTAGTCATAGTAGGAGCAAGGAGTGATGGCCTGAATTATGCAGCAAAAGTTCTCAGAATAGGGAATGAGTCACTATTGCCCTTGAACTTTGTGGATCTGAAACTATATTTATCATTTCACATTGTTCCCAAGCTGCGTGTTTGCAGTCCCCCACACAGAGCAACTTGCCTTTTCTGCCCTCAAGAGCTAAAACACACACAAGGGAATTTCCAGGGAGCAAAGTTGAGGATTAATTTCTTTAAGTGAATTTTAAGAAAAGCTTTATTGAAGAATACTTGTATCGGGAGGCAACTGATGTGAAGGTAATACTAAAAGGTTATATGAAGGATTGAGGCAATAGCATACAAAGCAGAAAAAAAAGGAAGTGGGTAAAATTAAAGAGTTCCTGTAGGGTCAAGAATGTGTAGCACGCGGTACTCTTACGAGAGGAAAACATTTTTGTGAATGTACTAGCTTTTTCTTTTCCTTCTCACCTCCTTATCTGCAATGTTTTGAACACAAACTGGAACACTAAAAGGAAAGATCCAGACAATTACATTTTGCCTTCTTCCACTTCTTCCCCCACTGCAGTACAAGAGATGAATTACATGAATTTTGTACCAGGTCATGGCTAAACACCAGAAAAACACCTTGGGACTAAAATTCATCAGGGAATCTTATAGTGTCTGCAGAACTGTGTGTTCAGTTAGCGACCTGGAATTAGCACATCCTGGAAGCGTGCTCGCTGTCTCTGGTCTTACAGCAGCAGCCTCTGTAAAGAGAGTGGAAAAGGTGCTCGAGAGACTTCTATCTTTAGAGTATTTTACATAACGGAATTTTAAAAATGAGAAATATTATTATTGGGTGGCAGGATAAAAGAGGCATATTGGCTTGCCAAAAAAGACTTAGCAAATGGAAATCCAAAATTAGTTCCAGGAAATATTATAGGTAACGTAATAAGTATGTGAGAATTGTAGGTACTTTGCATTTTTGTATGTGAAGTAAGTGCAGCACAAGATTACACATCCCACACTGGTATTTCAAGTTTCCTTGTTCAGTGGGAAGAAAAACCATTGGTGCGTGGGGACTCATTTTATAGGCATAGATTATCAGCTATCTTTAAATGTGCTTCCAAAATCCCTCATGGCTGTCGTGACAATATATTAGCATAGGGAACTCCTGTGGGTATTTGTGCTCTGGTGTAAGTATAAGCATAAGCAAAGGCTATTCTCAGTGTCTATTTGTGATTATCTCAGAGTGCATGGAAAATGGGTAACAAAACCCTCTCTGTTTTATGGGGGTCTATAAGAGCAGTTTACTACACCTAGACAGCTGGAATTTTCAGTCGAAGGGGTTTTGGAAAACAAAATATCAGTATCCTCAGAGTAAAACACTTTCAATAATGTGTGCAGCAAGATCATTTTAACTCAGAACTATAACTTAACCGCACCCACCTCTGCCAAACATAATAAACATACCAGAAGAAATAAACCTCAGCGCATGGGGAAATTATTCACAAGGATATTTAGCAGTATTAGACTCACAGCTCCATAAGTATTTACATTTGCTCAGAAAGTGAGAAGACCAGGGACAATTTAAAAGCTGGTTTGCACATTGGCATTACTGATGAAGTTGGATGACAAGAGATCTCTGCTTCTACTGTTACCCATAATGGATACAATTTACTAATATAGATTTGTACTCATCTAGGACAAATTTAGCAACTGGTTATGAGAGCAAAGAGTTTCACCAACTAACTGCAAAATCTGTGACTTTTAAAATGCTATGTACTGGCAGCTGTGACAGAAGCTTGAGTGTATATAAGGAGTGACATTTACACCTTGTGCTGAAGCCTTGTAGTTATTTTCTGCTGCTCTTCCCACTTTGGCCTTTAGCATTGCACTACTATGGGTCATTTTCACACTGACTAAATGTTTGATGAACATGAAGAATGGCTGCACCCAGTTCACCTAGGCATCCAGGTGGTTTTCTGTCTTTTTGTGTTTGTTTGGTTTGCTTTTCTTGGTTTAAGAAAAAAAAAAACAACAAACTTCAGACATTTGACCAAGACTTAGAGCCTCCACCATGAGTTTTGGCAATGACTGCGCAGTTACATTTTTATTGAAAGTACATGGAAAGCCCTTAGTAGCTCTGCTCATTGCCAGAAGCATTTGTCCCAAACAATTTGGGAACTAGTGTTCCTGCTGAGGGTATTTCCAACAGGCTCCTGTTTCCTGAGCCCTTTCCTGGGGTGCCTGGTGGGCAGGATGGGGTGGCTGATGCAGGTCCTGCACATCCTTCTCTCTTGTCTGTGGTGAACAGTGACAGGACCCGAGGGAAGCGCCTGAAGTTGTGTCAGGGGAGGTTTAGGTTGGATATTAGAAAAAGGTTCTTCCCCCAGAGGGTGGTTGGGCACTGAACAGGCTCCCCAGGGCAGTGGGCGCAGCACCAAGGCTGACAGAGCTCAAGGAGTGTTTGGATGATACTCTCGGGCACATGGTGTGACTCTTGGGGATGTCCTGTACAGGGCTAAGGGTTGAACTCGATGATCCCTGTGGGTCCCTTCCAATTAATAATATTCTGTGATTCTCTGATCCTGCACGCACATCAGAGGCGCTTGCAGTTCGTAATCAAAACCATACAATTTAAAAAAAAAAATGGCCAATATCCATGGCAACCTGACCCGGCACCGCCGCACCACAGCCCGCTCCCAACGCCTTTACACGTCGCAGAGCGAAGGAGGGCTGCAGGAAAGCAAAGGGAGAGGAAGGGAGGAGAGCCGGGAGGGAGGGCGGCACCGGCCCCGCGGCCCCCTCAGCGCGCCGGCTCCGCCCTCTGGGGGCGCTGCTGCCCCCGCCCCGCGGCCGGCGCGCAGCACCGGCCCGCTGGGGAGCTCGCTCCGCGCGACGCCTCGGGGGGGGCGTGGCAAGGGCCCCCAGAGTGGCGTCTCCGCTGGCCAAATGGGCGCGCGCGCCCACCTGACAGTTAGCCGAGTGCGGCCAAAATGGGAGGCGGCGGGGGGCGGGCGCGGGCGCGCGAGAGGCGCGGCGAGCGGCCGGGCGGCCAGTCGGCGCGGTGGCGCAGGATGATGCGGCTGTGGCGTTTCCGCGCGTGGCTCGGGAGCTGCTGCTGCTCGCGACCCGCCGGGGGCGGCCGGCGGCGGGGCCGCGGCCTCGGGACGCACCGCCGTCGGCAACCAGGCGCCTCCCGC